GTAAAATCGTGAAACGTATTTAAAAAGCAATTATAGCTAAATATTTTAATTTATTATACTCGGAATGAACATTGACAAGGGAAAAGAGCATTTGTGCTTAATATGAAGAAAACATGCACATCTATCGTACTAAAAAATTCTTACAAGGAAAAAATAAAAGAATAAGGGACAGTTCTCTTTGTATTTCAATTTTTAGTTTTGAGTTTTAAATTCATTTTGGGTTTTGAGTTTTGAGTATCCATTTTGAGATTGCTGAAAACGCATTCTTTTTTTCACTTTGAAAAATTGTTTTCAAAAAAGAAAAGAAAAAGAAGTTTTTGCTTGGTTTTAATCGAAAACAGCAAAAACAACTTTTTTGGTTTTTTCCGTTTTCTTTGTAAATTTTAAACTCGTTTTTGAAAATTCGTTTCTGAAAATAAGCAAGTAAACGTGTTTTCAGTATTTTCAAAAACTGTAAACTGAAAATTGCCTGAAAACAGCAAAGAGAATAAACCCTAAGCAGTCGGAGGAGATGCGATAGCTTTGTTTGAACATTGATCCTTAATCATGGACACGGCTGTGGGATGGCACTCGTCGCTAATTTCCACAATAGCCTTGCAACAATCCTCGCTAATTTTGTTACTTTACTTCAATAACTCGATATATTTTAAATTTTGATACTGAAATATCCTGCATGTTTATGATTTAATGAAAAATCTAAGAGAAATGAAGTGAAAATTGAAATTAATTACCTTCTTTCTCATCACTTTTCGATTCTATCTACTATATATAAAAAATTTTAAAAACTTTTACATTAATCAACCTTGTCAAACAAAACTTTGAAAATATATATAAAATTCATACCAAACTGACCGACTCAAGTTTGTTTGGAGGGATGTTGGTTCGATTTTTCGTTTGGCTTGGACCAATCCCAAAACTTTGATTTAGGGATTGGGTTTTAAAAAAATTGATTTTCAAGGGGGGTTATCGAATCGGTGAGAACTAACTACGGTCAGTTTGGATTGATTTATTCTTTTAATCTGTTCGATTGGACCAATCCCAAAACTTCGATTTAGGGATTGGGTTTTAAGAAAAATGATTTTCAAGGGGATTATCGAACCTGTCAGAACTAACTACAGTCAGTTTGGATTGATTTATTCTTCTAATCTGTTCGATTTCGGGTTGGAATTTCATCCAAGCCTAATTTTATAACCAATTTCCTTGTTTCCCTACTTACTAAGATATGTATCTATTATGAACTCAGGCCCAACTTACTTTGAAATGAAGATTGTGGCCCAACAAAAGTATACTGCTACTTCCATTAGTGCGATTTAAAAAAAAAATAATAAAAGTTGTGAATTTCGTATATTATGAATTTTTTTTAAAAAAAAAAAGGGAATTGAGCTTTAAAAAACTAGGGCGAAATAGGGGTTGTGGAATGTTTGGCATGATTTTTAAAAAGTCAAAACAATTTTTGAAATTAAAAAAGTTATTTTTAAATATATTTGGATAATTTTCTATACGAACTTTTCTTATTGAAGAGTTTCAATAAAAAATTAGTTTAAGATGCCTTCTTATAAAAGCTCTTGTTCAGGAATCAAAGGAACCAATTGTATTAATGTATACAACTAACTTTGTTCAAATGAGTCTTCTCATCGAATTAGGTCAAAATCACAAGTGTCTAAATAATCAATTGTGTTCAAAACATGACGATCCATTTTCGATAACATTGAAAATGGACAAGTGCTATCACAAGTATACAAGAAGTGTAAGTAAATAATAAATAAATAAAAATAAGAGGTTAATGCGGGTTGATTGTGTTGCAAACATATAAAAGGACAAGTACGAAGATGATTTTAAAAATGTAATTTAAAATTTTAAAGTTAAATGATGCACAAATTGACATTGTATTATAATAAATATATACGAATGAGACATCTTTGACCCCATTTCTTTGCCCAGAATATGTGGTTAAAAAATAAATTTTTTTTTTTTAATTTACATGTATTGGCAGCCATTTTCTTGACATTTTTAGAAATTATTTGATTGTTGGAACAGTAACGTGGGCCCATTACAGCCTCCCTTTTTGACTCAGCGGAGAACAAATCCTCTAAATTGACACTCTCAACATACAATGAAATAAATGTAAAGGGGTACAAATGTAATTTTAGTTGGATTTATCAATAAATGCAACCACCTAACAGACATAATCCTTCTACAAAACAAATGAAAATGATTACCAAATTAACTTGTTGGGGTGATTTTATATTTGGTTCTTGGTTTTTGAGCTAAAGTCCTTTATTTTTATTTATAGAACCGTCTTAAGATAACGTCACTTAATGATAGGATCGTTAACAATATTGAATACATACTAATTGTGATCTGTTATTAAATTCAAATTATTCGAACCTGCTTAAAAATTTTGATTCGATCTATTTGAAAAATTAAAATTCCCAATTTGAGCTTAGTTAAGAAATAAGTGAAAACTCAATTTCACGCACCAAACACGACTCTATTTTTGAGAAGTAAAAAAAAATGAAGAAATAAAAAAACCAGATCCAATCTGAACGCTCCCCTGTAGTCCACGTCGTAGGACACGCAAGTACATCGTAAAACCATGTGCTTCAAGACACGTCACCCTTGTCGTTAACCACATAAAACTTTCTCTCTCTACCGCATTATTCTCCGTCCATTTAATCAACGATCCAACGGATGAAAATGCAGTGATGTTGCATATTCTGAGTCTGACGTCATACCTCACTTTTCACGTCGGCTGCTCCAACATGTATCTAGATTCTAAAAGGGTGCAAATTGGATTTTAAAAAGAAAATTGCACGTTAGTTCCATCCTGTTGTTCTATTAGCAAATTGATAGTCCACTTTTAAAAAGAAGCAAATAGTTCTTAATGTTTTATTATTTTTTGTATAATCGATCTTCATTTGCAAATTGATTCTTGAAGTTTAAAAAAGGAAAATATTTGTACCATTAATCTCAGATCACAGAATTTTTCCTACTTTTACTAAGACCCTGTTTGACTCTTTATTTTTTTATACTTATTTTCAATTTCACATTCACACAATAAAATATTTTGCGTGTAAATTCAAAAAAATTTCTACTTTTTAACAGCACATTTTTAAAAACTCATTGTTCGAAATATCATTTTCTCCAATTTCTTTTTTAATGGCCATAAAACAACCTTAATCGTTTCAGTTTTTAAGCATTAGAGTCTCGAGTGGAATTTGTAAGTTGGGAATTCCTTCGTTTGACAAACTTAAGTCTTTGTTTGGTTGGGATTAAAATTTGATTTTAATTCAAGTTAAAGTTAAACAATCAATATTAACCACATTTTTTATGGGTCTCATAAATTTTTCAACCACACATTTCAAAAACTTCTATCACAATCTACTAAAAATTTAATT